CTACCATTCTCAACAAACTAAAGACATATCTGTTCCTTTTAAGGACTCCCTTTCCAGTTGATGGTTGACCTCACTCACTGGTTAAGTTGGAACCTCAAACTTTAGAGTTCTCTTTCTTTGGGCAGGTATTTGGCACAGTAGTTAAGATATCACTTGGGACACCTACGGCCCATAGCAGAGTGCCTGCTTCTGGTCCAGCTTTCTGCCAGTGCATAGTCCAGGAGGCAGAAGGTGATGACCAAGTACTTGGGTACTTATCACCCATATGCGACCAGATCAACATGCCAGCACATAATTTCGTGCTGGCTCAGCCTGGCTCTTGTGGGCATTTGAGGGGCGAAACAGTGATGGAAAAATCTCTCTCTGCCTTTCAAGAAATAGTGAAAATGAAGACATAAATAAAATTTAAAGTCCCTTCTCTTGTGGTACCCACACACATTTTCATATCCTAGTCTTGTCATATTCTGCTGATTGTGTGGGCAGGGCACCATGACAGAAAATGAGTAGAAAAGGTTTAGGGAAGACTCTGCAGCTTTTTCCCTCTGTTATTTCTCCCTGGATTCGCAGAGGAACCACCAAAACAAACAAACATACAAAATTTACACACTTCATTCTTCTGAGCTGAATTAAAATGAAATTATTATTGCTCAATGGGCCAGTCAATGTTCTGTATGGGATTGTTAAAATTAGAGTAAACAAACAAAACCAGAAACTGACTGACACTGTCAACATGGCACAAGCAAAATGTTTCAGATTTTGAACAAGGAAGCACTTACGTCGGATTAAGAAACACAAAGAAAGGCTTCATGGATGAGAGAGCAGATGAGAGAAGATTGATGAAGTTTTGATAGATCATGAGGGGACACAATTTATGATGCAAGCATAGGAAAAGGATCAGCCAAGACTTAGAAGTAGTTGTTGTTGTATGTAAATTACCAGCAACCTTGTAGCAGGGATTTCTAAGTTGGCCTCATCATTGGGGTTAGACATGTTTGCTGGACAATTAAGCCAGCCATCAGATAATGCCAGTTTGTAAATTTGGCCTTCATGGCTCTGTGTAAACCATCTTTTTGCGTGAGTGTACTATATCTGAGAACAGGTATGACTCACCTGGAACAAGAGAACACGGCTGAAATGATGAGATGCCACTTCTGAGATTAGGTTATAAAAATACTACAGCTTCAGTTTTGGACTCTCTCTCTCTCTCTTCACTCGGAATACTTTTTATTTAGCACTTGTAAAGCACCCACCGCCAAATTAGAATAGATAGACAGAGAAATACAAGGAAAGCTTAGAACCAAACAGGAAACGGTCAGCGTGGATCCACACATACCTTATTAGGTAGGACACAAAGATTAGTTACTCCTTGCTAGGGTATTGAAGATTTCTCTTAACACCCCTCCTAAAACTGTTCTGCACCTCAACTGTTGACAAATGCCTTGTTAGATTTAAAAGCCAGTTTAGACTATCCTAAAATCTGCCAAGTTCAGTAAAATTATGTGTCAACACAAGAAACTGCTAAATACTAAGATAAAAATAGACATAAGACAGCTGAATAGTATCCTATAGCTACTTTAAGGTGTATAGCAGCTGGTTCTGTGTATAAACTAAAATTGAAATGTCAATGAAGTAATCACAGGATGTGGTTAAGAACTTGCATTATTTTAACATATTGATCACTCAATACCATGTCAATTCCATAATGTTGTAAATTGTTGTTAATGTTGTGCTAGGGCTTTCAATTGATCGCTATGACATTCTGCCAGCTCTGCCTTCAGACCAGAGATGGTCTCCCCAAGAAACTGTTGAATTTATCTGGACAATAAGATGCTGGACTCTGTGCTTGGTATATGTTTGCAAAGAAAGAATCTTGACTTAATTTGAACTGTATTATTACAACAAGGTGGAGGAATCCACCATGCGGGGAGGGCACAGGGAAGGGTTGGGGGAATCCCAGAGCCTATGAAACTGTGTCACATAATGCAACGTAATGCATGCCAAACACATTTCAGCTGCTGCATCAACTCCTGCCTCTCTCATTCTTGAATAATAAATTAAATTAGAAAACAGCCAAGTTTATATAAGTATTATTAATAAGGAGAATGATCAACTGGAACACAGTGCTTTTCTTTTTTTAACTTTTTAAAATTATTATTATCATTTAATAGTATTGTTCTATAGGCCCTGGGATTTCCCTTACCCCATCCCTAAGCTCCATCCCCCACCCACTGAATTCCCCTAAATTGTTATTATAGGGTAGTTGTTCATACACAGTCATATGTCCATCATTGCAGGCATGGACAATGGCAGAGAGTCCAGCATCCTATTGTCAAGATATTGTAAACAGTTTCATTGGGAATTCATGTTTGTCTGGAGGCAGAGATGCATGCTACATTGTATCCTAACATCTGGATATGATAGTCTCCATTACACAGTTACTGTACATCCCCTTAAATGAAGAGCCACAAAACAAAAACAAGAGGAAAAGAATTAAAAACACTATGAAGTTAAATAGCATGCTACTGAGTGACTAATGTGTCACTGAAGAAACAAAAAGAAAATCAAGAATCTTCTTGAAGAAAATGATACTGCTGCCTGATCCATGAGTCAGTGAAGAATTTAATGAGGAAGCAAATGTTTTGAAGAGATGAAGCTGAATTAAAAAATAAAAATCCATGAGATGTAGTTTTCACTTATCTTTATTGGTGAGATAGATCTTCTGTAGGCGACAAATAGATGACTTTTTTTTTATGGTGAAAAACATATATTTAGAATAGAGAGAGAGCTGGATGCAGTTTAGATGATCCCAATTTTGTTGGCAACATCCAGAGCATCATAATCGGGAGCCAACCGCACGTACGCCTTCTTTTCTCCATCGGGCCTGATCAGGGTATTGACTTTGGCCACATCAATGTCATAGAGCTTCTTCACGGCTTGTTTGATCTGATGCTTGTTGGCCTTGACATCCACAATGAACACCAGTGTGTTGTTGTCTTCTATCTTCTTCATAGCGGACTCTGTGGTCAGGGGGAACTTGATGATGGCATAGTGGTCAAGCTTATTCCTCCTGGGGGCGCTCTTGCGGGGGTATTTGGGCTGCCGGCGCAGGCGCTGCGTCTTGGGCCTCCGGAAGGTGGGCGACGTGCGGATCTTCTTCTTGTGGCTGTGGACACCTTTCAGCACCGCCTTCTTGGCCTTCAGGGCCTTGGCTTTGGCTTCGGCTTTGGGAGGAGCGGGAGCTTCCTTCTTCGCCTTCGGCGCCATCTTGGTAAAAAGGACTTTTGTTTTTTTAATCCAGTCTACTAATCTGTGTTGTTTGATTGATGAGCTTAAGCCATTTACATTTGGGGTTAATATGAACGGGTGGCGATTTGGTCCTGTATCTGTCTTTTTTGAATCTCTCACTCTAGGAAAAGGCAGCTGCCGTGTAGTATTGCAGCCCATGAGGAAGTCCTCATGAGAACATGAGTCCTGGCATCGGGCACATGAGAAAGCTCAGAACAGAACCTCCTTCAAGGAAACTTAAGTTAATGGCAGCTCCAAAGGGCATTTTAAAAAAAATTATATTTAGGCCTGTGTAGTAGTCTAGCGGCTTAAGTCCTTGCCTTGCACACACGGGGATCCCATATGGGTGCTGGTTCTCATCCTGGAAGCACTGTTTTCCATCCCGCTCCCTGCTTGTGGCCTGGGAAAGCAGTCGAGGATGACCCAAAGCCTTGGGACCCTGCACCCACGTGGGAGACACGGAAGAGGCTCCTGGCTCCTGGCTTCGGATCAATGCAGCTCCGGCCGTTGAGGCCACTTGGGAAGTGAATCAGCAGATGAAAAATCATCCTCTCTGTCTCTCCTCTTCTCTGTATATCTGACTTTCCAATAAAAATAAGTAAATCTTTAAAAAAAATATATTTCCCTTTGTCTCCCCCTTACCCCAGATACAGAAAAAAAAAAAAAAAAGAGAAAGAAATTGTGGAAACAATGGTCTTACCCACTTTCCTGTAGCCTTTGAGCCTTTGTACCCTAATCAACTATGCAAAGATTATCAATATAAAATAATTATTTTTAAAAGATGGAAAAATTATATTTAGTTGACAAATATATTTCTGGGTGGCAATGTGGTGTTTCAGTATCTATAAATATTGTGGAGTGACCAAAATAGGCTAATAAACATCTGTTGTCTCCAATATTTATCATTTCTTTGTGGCAAGAATATTTTAAATCCTCTCTTTTAAACTACTTTGAAATATGCAATGTTGGGCCCAGCATGGTAGCCTAGTGACTAAAGTCCTTGCCTTGCATGCATCAATATCCCATATGCGTGCCAGTTCTAATCCTGGCAGCCCCACTTCCCACCCAACTCCCTGCTTGCAGCTTGGGAAAATAATCAAGGATGGCCCAAAGCCATGGGACCCTTCACCTGCCTGGGAGACCCGGAAGAAGCTCCGGGCTCCTGTCTTCAGATCAATGCAACTCTGGCCGTTACAGCCACTTAGGGAATGAATCAGCAATGGAAGATCTTCCTCTTTGTCTCTCCTCCTCTATGTATATCTGACTTTCCAGTAAAAATATTAAAAAAAATTAAAAAGGAAAAAAGAAATATGCAGTGTTAAGTAAAGTTATTGTGCTGTGTCAGAGAATGCCAGAGCTTATTTCTTTTATCCAAGTTACATTTTGCACTTTTGGACCACATTTATCCCTTCTTCAACCCCTTCCCCACCCGCACTGCAACCTCTGAAAGTCATCTGTCTCATGTTCTTCTGTTTCAAGTTTGACTTCATTAGATTCTTCATATACAAGAGAGGGCGTGGTGTGCATTCTGACAAACTCCGTGACTCTGTGTAGCCTGGGGGAGACACTGAGGCAAAGGCATCCAGCCAAGCCAGGACGATTCCTGACGCACATTGGTTATAAGACGGTGAAAGTTGTTTGTTCTAACTTGCTAAATTTTGCAGAAATTTGTGGCACAGCAGTAGACAGCTAAATCACACCAGCCAAAAAGATGGATGGATCTGTACGAAGTCCTAAAAGGCCAAGATGTTTGTGGGTGGAGTCTGCCCAGGATGCAGGAGGCTCCTCATTACCAAGGGGGTCAGCGGGGCAAGAAGCATCATTCTGTAGGTGCAGATCTGAGGTTGACATCCATTTACACAGATGTTAAATAGCTAGAATTTATACCCTTTATAAAGATATACCCTTTATATCCTGGTTGAATCCAGCAGGAAGTCAGATTAAATAGATCAGAATGCACAAATTTTTACTGAATACATTTGCTTTTAAAAATTTGTTTCTAGTAGGAATCTGGGAATTAAAATGGATAAAATAGTACATACATACAAGACCAGGGAGAGTCAGGATGTTGAACTGTATAGACAGTGAGGGGATCTAGCAAGGCAGTGAGTGTGTATGTCCTCTTGTTTTCTTGTCCGTAATCTGAACAACTTGAAAAATAACTTTTAACACATTACAGAAATGTATGGGCATTTGCCTCAACAGGTGAGGATAAAACCTGAGTGATTAGCATGAAGGCTGTGTTGGTTAACATGCATTGGGATACTTCTGCTAAAAATTCATACACTGTTGACTTTCGTAGAAGTGTTAATTATGGCTTCAAGTAGCTGAGAAGTATGAGGGTGCAGAAAGCTTCAGAAAGTGCTGAAATAATTGTTTCAAAATGTATCATTTTGAAGACATTGCTAATTTTGACTCATTATATTGAACATTTTGAGAATTTTCATTTTGTGTGAAAGAGAGAGCTTCTCGAGAGAGTCTTTTTTTTTTTTATCTGTTCGTTTACTTCTCAAATGCCTCTAACAGTTTGATAGAGCCAGGTTCAAAGCAGGAACCCAGAGCTCAATGCAGTCTTCTGCTTGAGTGACAGGGACCCAAATATGGGCCATCCCCTACTGTTACCCAGGATACACATTAACAGTAAGCAGGAATCAAAATCAGATCCAGGACTCAAGCCCAGGCATTCCACCATGTGAAACAGGTGTCCCAAGTGGCATCTCAACTGCTGTGCAGAATGTCCACCCCATCGCCGCATTTTCAAGAATTTCTCACTGTGACTTTTTGCATTTTTCCTTTGAATTAACTTCTTTCCTTGCAGAGGTAAAGTCTAATCTATGGATGCTAAATGTTCTCAAATTTTATTTTGCCTTAACACTTTGCACGATGTTTGGGAGAGATCCAGAATGTTGGATCCAAATTTATCTTCTCTAGAAGCCTCCGGCCTCCAGTGTTGCCAGCAATCTCGTGCTTGTTCTTATAGTTATTATGTGTTTTTCCTTCTGATGGTTCAATACCTTTCTTTACTTCTGATGTTATCACTTACATATTGACAGGCTTGAATGTGCCATCTACATTGAACTTTTACTTAATCAACATTTCTCTATACATTACGTTCTGGTTACTGAAGTGTTGTGTTTTGTTTTTTTTTTTTAACTTCCAGTTTACTCATTGCCTCTTTAGCAGTATTAAAGCTGCCATTAAGCTCATCTATCAAATTAAAACTTTTAACAGCCATGTTTATCATTTTAACATCTCTAGTTGATTCTGGTATCATCCTGCATGTTGTAGTTTCGAATTTTCTCTTTTTCCCCCTGCTTTTCATTCCTACACCACATAAATATGTATCTTTCAGGATTTTGAGAACACAGTGTTAACCCCCTAAGCTCAGGATTCCTAAGTACCCAACAAATGAAGTTTGTTTCTGAGGGGATTAAACTGAAGTAAAAGTCTAGGAGATTGGAAGCTTCAAAAGATGGGGAAAAGCAAAAATACCTTATCCCTCTATTTTCCATATTCTCAAGGAATAGCATGAAAGGGTTACACTGAAGAGTCTCAAATATATTTTACTCAGAAAATAGTTTTAAGAAATTAGATTTCTATAGAGAATGGAAGTTGTCCTCTTTTTTTTTTTTCTTTTCAAAACTTGGCCAAAACAAAGCAAAACTCAAAGGACACGTAAAACAAGATCTGTTTGCTGTGCACAAATGTTTGTGGATGGAATATTTACATGCAAAAACCATGCAAAATACAGAGGCCATGATCCTGGGCATTTCGTTAGTTTATAATCTGAAGCTTAAACAGTAACACAGAATCAGTCCTAGCAAATGAGAACAGATTTCTATCTTTAGGAGTTGATAACAGACATGAGTAAACAGAGCTGTACCTGAATTGAGAAGAGAAATAATTTGCTTTTCTGCTTTATTAACTCCAATCTGCCACGGGAACCTCACTGGGAGCTCTAAGTAACTTCAGTTACCTGAAGCTACAGTAAGAAACCTTAAGTGTCGCTCGCTTCTTGCTCAATCAATATGGAATAAACCAAAACATGAAGCAACTGGTTCTGATTAGGTAGAATGAGCCTTTATTTATACTTGCTAATGAAACGTCCTGTAATAAGCCAGTTTCACAAAAGCAAGGTTTACTGTTGCTTTGACAGTTTCATCATTGTGGATAGTAATTCCCTTTCTCTTTTTGCCCCCCAGGTGGGATTTTATTCTCTAAATGTTTACTTTTCTTGGGGTTTGATTTGTTCTTTCTTTCAGAGAGCACTTTGAAATAATCATCGATATGCTAGAATTTTGTCCACAAAGTTTCAAAAACCACAAAGACAAAAACCACTGAGCTGCTTGCTGGGAGTTTCTGAGCTCACTGCTGCTAGAGCACCTTACCTCCTACGTCACTTTACAAGCAGAGTGTCTTGCCAGCGGTGAACTGGCGGTGCAGAACAACAGTCTTATATGTAAGTTCTTTGGGTAAGTTTTGCTGCTACTGCTTGTTTTTCTCGGTGTGTGTGTTCGGAAGGATTGTTCTGTCACGAAGTCGTCCTAGAAACAAATGCATCAAGAGGCAGGGAGCTTGCCTTGCATTATTATCAGAGGCATTATCAGAATATATTTTTTTCACTATAAAGTCTGTTTTATAAGTGGATTAGCATTAAGTGTGGCAAGGGGAACAGTATTTTTTTAAATGTCAAATGAGCCAGCAGAAAGATTTTTTTAAGTCCTGTTGAAACCACAAATTAAAGTTACTAGCGATATTCCAAAGCAAATTTTATTAGAAACTTTTTGTTAGAGAACATCTTATATAGTGAAAGTGATGCATACATGTTAGATCTATTTATATTTGCCATCTGTTTAATGAGCCACTGTACCACATGAACTATTGGTCTGAGGTTTCAGCTTAAAAAATAGCTTTTCTAAACTTTATTTTAAAGCTTAGGAAAATCAAACATACCCATTACCCAACTTTCTCCTTCCAGTCTGTGAAGTGAATCACCTCATTGAAACCTGGTTGTTTTCAACAGATACCCTTATTATACATTGCTTCTGGGCAGTCAGTTTCAGAATTTTCCAGATGATCATAGAACTGACTCAAGCTTTCTGGGCACTTTGCGCCAGGGATAATTTTGTTCACAAACCTGTGATTATTCTGCTCTTGTACAGAACTTGTACCAGGTCAGTCGTGGTAGATACAAGCATTCAGCATCCCCTAGGATGATGTTTTTTGTGCACAGGAAAGAGGAGAGAAACACAGAGGGACTGTGGCCCGGCCCAAGGTCACAGTCATCTCTGACAACCCCACTGGAAGCAGGGTCTCTCAGCTTTGGGCAAGATGGTGGATTGACCTAATACCAGAAAAAACATTCTGCTGTTAGACAAGTTTCCTAATCGCCATTTAAACAAAATAATTACATAAAACTTTGCCTCTCCAAAATATGCAAATATAGAGAGCAACGTATTATTTTAAAAGTGAGAAAATACATAAACAACTTATGGGATTACCATGAAAATCTAGATTCTTATCAAATATGAGCAGTTTAAGGTGTGTAATAAGAACATAAAAATGGTTGAACACCAGTTCATTGCCTCTTTGGGTTTTGTCCATTAGCTATTGCTGTATAACACACTATCCCTAGACTTACAGGGTTAAGAGAATGCTCATTTACTACTGTTTAAGAGCCTATTAATCATTGCTCCTCAGCCTTTTGGCTAAGATGAAGTGTGAAGAGCCTATTAATCAAATGAACATTTTGGAGCCTGCACTATGGCATAAGGGGTTGAACTGCTGCATCCAATGTGGGCATCCCATATGGGCACTGGTTCAAGTCCTGGATGCTCTGCTTTCCATACAGGTCCTGCTATTAAGCTGGAAAATTATAAGAGAATAACCTAAGTGCTTGGTCCCCTGCCACCCAAGTGGGAGGCCTAAATGGAGAGCCAACTACTTCTCTCTGGTCTAGCCCTGACCGTTGCTGCTGTTTAGAGAATGAACTGGTGAAAGGAAGATTTCTCTTTCTCTCTTCTATTTCCTTTTGAAATAAATAAATATTTTTATTATTAATTATATTTATTATTAATGATAGTTGATTAGGGTGATAAGAGTCAAGAGCTAAAGGAAGGTGAGTGAAAGCACCATTTCCACATTCTTTTTTTTCCCCTTCCTGTATCTGGGGGATGAGGGAGACAAGCAGAGAAGCCACACCCAGCCTCCCAAACACCTATGCATGCTGGAATAAAGGACAGCCATCTGACATCACCCCAGAGTGCCTGATGTGAGGCATGCTCTGAGAGTCTTGCTCATGAGGTTTTGATAGTTAAGCTGTTCTAAATTATCTGCCAGTTGATGCTGTGGCCAATCTCGCCACTCCAAGCACAACAAAATCTCTCCAGACTGTCTAGCTCTCCAGACTCCTCCAGCTGACATAGTCCACCTTAAAGTCTCCGTTTGCTCAAATATTCACTGCCAACACTTGGCTGGGATAGTTGATCAATCTGTTCTGTCCTCTGTCATGGTCCTCCACAGGCTGCAATGTACTGTCATTCCTCCATGTGCACCTGGATATACTGGCCACTGCTCCGTCTAGGCCACTGTTCCGTCTAGGCCACTGAGGAGGCCCAGCTCTGACTCATCCACAATCAGACCCTGGAACCTGCAATTCTCTTCATGGATGGGGTTCTGAGTCTAGTAGTTCAGTTGGAGGGATTCCCAAAGAAACTTCGTCTGTTGTGATCCCAGACCAGATTCTTGTGTGTGCTTGCCAGTACAGGATCCAGCACAGTTTGTTGCCCAAATCAGCTTATGCACATGCTGGTTGCAGCTGCTGGGTCAGTGCTGCCTCCAGCCTTGTCTTCTAAACAAACCAACACTCTCGGCCCTCATGTAAACCAGTAGGAGTTGCAGCCTAGTTGGAGCAACCCACACTAACCCCCACCAGGCCCACCCCTACCCTGATCCCTGTGCTTGCCAGGATATAGAGCAAACTTTTCAAGTTTGTCCCACATCCCCTTCAGTTCTCATACATGTCAATGGGCATTGAAGCCTAGTTCAACCCAACCAGCCCCACTATCAAGCCCACACACGTGCTAGTGGGTGCCACTCTGTCTAGCCATGCCTGCCCCCACCCTGGTTATCATGCTCACCAGACAGAGTGGAAACTCAAGAGGGAGATGCCCACTGCTTTCCTATTGGGCTCACTCCCACCTCCGGATCCTACATTCCCCAGGTAGTTCTGCAGTTTGACTTGACAGAATTAGCCCCCAATGCCAGTATCTGCCAGTTGATGCTGTGGCAGAGCCCAAACAGCACATACCCACTCTGGCTTATGCTTGCACCAGTAGGAACAGTCAGTCTAGCCTGGCTTTTCCCTGACCCAGCTCACATATAAAGCCAACTGGTGTTGTAGCACTCCTTAGTCTGGTCTGCTCCCATCCCAACTCACACCTCCTCTACTGGCTTTGTCCCCTCATCCTCCAGTCTCACCTGTGCTGGTTGGGTGCTGTGGCCCAGTCTGGCATGGCCTGCCACCTCAACTCGGCATTTGCCAGTGCATGCTGTTGCCTGGCTGGACCCAGCCTACCCCAATTCCAGTTCTGGTGGGGTTACAGACTAGCCCAGCCTAGGTGGCACCCAGTCCCAACCCTCACGTGAACTGGCATGTGTTGTGACCAAACCCAGCCAAATCAACACTCCATTCTGGTGCTTGGATTCACCAGCTGGTGATGTGAACTAGACCAACCTGGTTCACCCCTGACCTGCACCAAATGTATGCTGGTGGGTACCATTCCCTAGCCTATTCTGGGCTGCTTCCTGTCATGGTTCTTGCGCTTACCTGCAGGGACTGTGTCCCAACAGAGGAATTGCCCAAACTCATGCATCAGAACCTCTCCCAATGTCAGATTTCATGCACATGGGCAGGTCTATGGGCCAGCCCTACTCAGTCCACCTCCTGTTCTAGCAGGAACAATGGCCTTTCCTGATCAGCCTTCAACCCATTGTGGTTTTTACTGTTGGGTATTACTGCCCAACCAAGCCTGGTCCACAAGCAGACACAGCTCACACCTGGCTCCTCAGGGACAAAGGCCTAGTCTAGCCTGTCTTACACCTACCACATTTCTCACAAGTACCAGTGTGTGCTGGGATATAGCCCAGTCCAGCACACCCCAGACCCAGTCTTCATTTTTGCTGAGGGACTTACAGCCATATCCAGACCAGAACATAGTTCCCACCCCACTTTCTGGCCCATGTACTCACCAGTGGGAACCACAACCCAGCCAGGGTGTCCCCTTAGCTATCCAACCAGACCTAATCCCAGCCATTTATCTTGCAAGTACCAGTGGTTACTCTGACCCAGCTTGGCATAGCCCCTTACCTGTCTTGGCCTTTGCCTTTGAATGCTGTAACTTGGTCTGACCTGGCCTGCCCCCAGTCCCAGCTCTCACTGGTGGGTGCTGGAACCTGGCCTTGTTCAGTCTGCTCCCAGCCTTGGCTCATGCAAACCAGTAGGTGTGACAGCCTAGCCCAACATGACCTGCACTCCAGCCCACTTTCTGGACTTGCCAATGAGCTAAGGTTTGCTCAGTTCTGCTTGGTCTACCTTCCAAAACCAACCCACATATTAGCCAACAGCTGCAGCTACCTTACCCAGCTTATCAAAACCCCCAGGCCTGGACCACATGCTCACCTGTGGGAGCTATGACCCACTAAGGAAATTTCCCTAGTTCCCCTACTTGGCCCACTCCCAGACCCAGATCTCATCCATGCAAGCAGGTATTAAGTCCTTGTCCAGCATAGCCTGTCCCTACTTGTATGAGCTGGTGAATGTTGCAGTCCTGCCAGCCCCACACCCTGTTTTAGGATGCACATGTAGGTGCTGCAGCCTGGATCTGCCCAGACTTTTCTTGGTCTCTGTACCTGTGAGTGTTGGCAGGTTCCATTGTCACACCTAGCTTAGCCAATCACCACCCCAACTCTTGAGCTAACCAGCAGGACTTGCATTTCCATAGGGCTTGGCACTCAAATCCTTCACAGAATCTACCCCCTGGACCTGGTTATCTCGTGTGCTGGTTAGTGTCATGGCCCTGCCTAATGTGATCCATCTCCTGTTCTGACATTCAGTCTGGTACTGGGATCTAGCCCTGCTAGACAGGTCCCCAGCCCTAGCTATCATGTGGACTGGCATGTGGTGGTCAGCAATGTTCCATGCTAACAAGCCCTACTCAAGACTCCAATGTTAGCTGGTATATCAGTCTGACTCAGGAAGATCTTCCGATCTCTCCCTCCAAACCTTCAGGTCTCAGTCCCCTCACTTACCTGCAGATACAGTGACCCTGTGGTTGAAGTCCCTCAAGAGTTATTTGTCAACTACATACACAGTGGCCTTATCCATGGATGGCCCTAGGCAGTAATTCCACACCTCCAGGATCCCAGAGCTTTCCACCAGGCTGCAACTTGGGCAGAGCC